TAACGCGTGGGCGTGTACGTGTGGCGTGTGCGTTTGCGTGTGCGTGTGCGTGTGCGTGTGCGTGTGCGTGTGCGTGTGCGTGTGCGTGTGCGTGTGCGTGTGCGTGTGCGTGTTCGTGTGCGTGTGCGTGTGCGTGTGCGTGTGCGTGTGCGTGTGCGTGTGCGTGTGCGTGTGCGTGTGCGTGTGCGTGTGCGTGTGCGTGTGCGTGTGCGTCTGCGTGTGCGTGTGCGTGTGCGTCTGCGTCTGCGTCTGCGTCTGCGTCTGCGTCTGCGTCTGCGTCTGCGTCCTGCGTCTGCGTCTGCGTCTGCGTGTGTCTTTGTCGTGTGCGTGTGCTGTCTGTTGGGTTGTGCGTCTGCTGTGTGTCTGTGTCCCTGCAGTCTGTGTCCGTGTCTGTGGTCCTGTGTCTTTGTGCGTGTGCGTGTGCGTGTGCGTTGTCCGTGTTCGTGTGCGTGTCTTGTGCGTGTGCGTGTGCGTGTGCGTGTGCTTGTGCGTGTGCGTGTGCGTGCGTTGTGCGTGTGCGGGTGCTGTCCTGCTGCAGTGCGTGCTGTCTGCGTCTGCGTCCTGCGTCTGCGTCTGTGCGTGCGTCCTGCGTGTGTCTGCTTGTGTTCGCTTGTGTGTGTGTCTGTGTCTGTGTCTGTGTCTGTGTGTGCGTGTCTGGTGTGTCGTGCGCGTGTGTCTGTGTCTGCGTCTGTGTCTGTGTCTGGTTCTGTGGTGTGTGGGGTTTGTGTGTGTGTGTGCGTGTGCGTGTGCGTTGCGGTGTGCGTGGCGTGTCTGTGCGGTCCGTTGTGCGTGTGCTGTGCTGGGCGTGTGCGTGTGGGTGTGTGTGGTGTGTTGTCGTGGTGTGTGTGTGTATGTCTGTGTGTCTGTGTGTGTGTGGTGTGTGTGTGTGGGTTTATTTGCTTGTTTTTCATTTCAATTTTTTTTTTTTTTTTTGGGGGGGGGGGGGTGGGGGGGGGGGGGGGGGGGGCGCGGGGGTTCGGGTTTAGGGTTTTGGGCTGAATTTGCTGGGAAACTTGTTTTGGAGGGGAGGGGCTAATTGTCTAGGGCTTCGCGTGGGGGCCTGCCTAGTTCTTAGAGAGTTCTTAGGGGAGGGGGGTTCATGGGAGGTAGGTACCTAGGGAAGCCTAGGGAAGCTTAGGGAGCCTTAGGGATCTTGGGTTACATACACCCCCGTAAACCCCCCTCCCTTAAGCACCCTATAAGCTTAGGGTCTGGGATTCTACTAATTGCTTAAGAACAAAAAAAAGAAACATATTCTTCCTTACTAAGGGTAAAGTTATATAGGGATAATTTTTCTGTTTGTTTTTTTGGGGGGTTCTTAAGCAAATGGTAGGATTTAGGGGTCAATTCAGGGCTTCGGGGTTAGGGCTCCCTGAAGTTTAGGCCTTCAAAAACTTGCGGGGCGGCAGGGATCCTGTAGCTAAAGGGGGTTGCGGAGTTTGGGCTTGTAGGGTTTAGGGTTTAGGGTCTAGGGTTTTAGGATTTAGGGTTTAGGGTTTAGGGTTTAGGGTTTAGGGTTTAGGGTTTAGGGTTTGGGGCTTTAGGGTTTGGGGCTTTAGGACTTAGGGTTTAGGGTTTAGGGTTTGGGGCTTTAGGGTTTAGGGTTTAGGGTCTAGGGTCTAGGGTTTAGGGTTTAGGGTTTAGGGTTTGGGGCTTTAGGGTTCAGGGTCTAGGGTCTAGGGTTTAGGGTTTAGAGTCTAGGGTCTAGGGTTTAGGGTTTAGGGTTTGGGGCTTTAGGGTTTAGGGTTTAGGGTCTAGGGTCTAGGGTTTAGGGTCTAGGGTCTAGGGTCTAGGGTCTAGGGTTTAGGGTTTAGGGTTTGGGGCTTTAGGGCTTTTGCGAGTAGCAGGTGTAGGGTCTTGGAGTTTGGGGTGCAGGGTTTAGGAGTCCTAAACCCCAAACCCTAAACCCCAACGCCTAAACCCCAAGCCCCAAACCCTAAACCCCAAACCCCAAATCCTAAACCCCAAACCCCAAACCCCAAACCCTAAACCCCAAACCCTAAACCCCAAACCCTAAAAACCCCAAACCCTAAACCCCAAACCCCAAACCCTAAACCCAAACCCTAAACCCAGGAAAGTCGCTGCCCGACGTGCTCGCCCTCCTGCGCCTCCATCTGCCTGGTGCCTGGGTCCCGGAGCAACCCCCTAAACCCTAAACCCTAAACCCTAAACCCTAAACCCGAAACCCTAAACCCAACATCGGCATTCACAGCTACACCGTTTTTGGCCGTTTGGCCCGGTCACTTGTGCTCAGGATGTTGGCAAAAGCCGTCGACTTCTCGACTTGTTGCGTGTGTTAGCCGGGGTTTAGGGTTTAGGGTTTAGGGTTTAGGGTTTAGGGTTTAGGGTTTAGGGTTTAGGGTTTAGGGTTTATGGTGGGAAGGGTGGTGCCGTTGTTGTGCGGCTTGTCGCGTTTTCTCTTGGGACTTACATCATCTTCGGCCCTTCTCGAGAAATGTGCTTGGTATTTTGCAGCAAGTTGGGGCACCCTGGGATGCTATTAGGGTTTAGGGTTTAGGGTTTAAGGGTTTAGGGTTTAGGGTTTAGGGTTTAGGGTTTAGGGTTTAGGGTTTAGGGTTTAGGGTTTAGGGTTTAGGGTTTAGGATTTAGGGTTTAGGGTTTAGGGATGGTCTGAGACCATAATTTCTCAACTCCAGGTGTTGTGTCGTGTGTAGTCCTCCTTATAGCTGCAGGCCGAAACATCGGCGTTCGCAGCATGTCTGCTCTTGTGCTATAGGGTTTAGGGTTTAGGGTTTAGGGTTTAGGCTTGTCGCCCACCTTCATCGGTTTCACCAAACTCTTGCGAAGCACTCTGGACGGAGTGAACTTCTCTATACTCCCCTTAGAACCTTAATAAACATGCTGAATATCCTCTTGGGTTTTATATAAACAAAATAAAACCCAAGGGGGATATAGTTCTGTGCCAAGCAGACAGCAACTTGGAGAAAAAACGCAAGTTAGCCCGGAGATGCGTGCCGCCAACACCCCACCCTGCTTTAAACCCCTAAATCCTAAACCCCAATTCAACCCTACACCCTAAACCCTCACAGAAAAGAAACGAGATTCAGGAAAACACGAAAAAACAGCAAACATCATAGTCAAAAACGTTAGAATACTCGAAAAACAAGGCCTCCAGCACGTCCCACTCTCAAACCCCAAACCCCTAATGTTCTACAAACGCTCCAGGGCGGCGAGAGCCATACCCCTACACCCTGAACCCGAAGCCCTAAACCCTAAGCCCTAAACCCTAACCCTAAGCCCTAAGCCCTAAGCCCTAAACCCTAAACCCTAAACCCTAAACCCTAAATTTAAGGGGTGCTTGATACGGGAGATCCAGAGCTCCCAAACAACCAGGGAGAAAGGACCCGAGGCTTCCTAAACCTCAAGCCCTAAGCCCTCACTACGGGCTTGTGTAAGCTTTTTGAGGTTTAGGGTTTAGGGTTTAGGGTCTAGGGTTTAGGGTTTAGGGTTTAGGGTTTAGGGTTTAGGGTTTAGGGTTTAGGGTTTAGGGTTTAGGGTTTAGGGTTTAGGGTTTAGGGTTTAGGGTTTAGGGTTTAGGGTCCTAGGGTCCTTGGGTCTTTGGGTCACCTTAGAGGGGGTCCTTGAATCCCAAGGTGCCCCAGGCGAAGAGAGACACCAGCACGGCAGCCGCGCGATTCATGGTTCGGGTCTTTGGCTTCAAGCATCGGCATCCGCGGTTTTTCTCGGTCTAGGGTTGAGGGGTTTAGGGTGTAGGGGTTTAGGGTTTAGGGTTTAGGATTTAGGGTTTAGGGTTTAGGGTTTAGGGTTTAGGGTTTAGGGTGTAGGGGTTTAGGGGTGTAGAGTTTAGGGTTAATGGGTTTAGGGATGTAGGGGCTTAGGCGCTTAGGGTTTCAGGGGTTTGCCCCGCAAAAAGAACAAACCTGATAAACGGTCGGATAGTGACACCCCTAGACCCTAAACTCAAAACTCCCTAAGCTCCCTAAAGCCCTAAATCCTAAAACCCTAAGCTCCCTACACCCAATGAAGTTCGGATTGCGAGGGCGGGGGGGGGGGGGGTCGGGGGCAAGGAGGAGGAGGAGGAGGAGGAGGTGGAGGAGGAGGAGGAGTGATGGTACGCCTTGTGCTCTGCTCCATGCATTCCGAACCTCCTTGTGGTTTAGAGTTTTGGGAATTTGGGGTTTGGGGTTGGGGGAGTTTAGGGTTTGGGTTTAGGGTTTAGGGTTTAGGGTTTAGGGTTTAGGGTTTAGGGTTTAGGGTTTAGGGTTTAGGGTTTAGGGTTTAGGGTTTAGGGTTTTGGGTTTAGGGGTTTGGGTTTAGGGTTTAGGGTTTAGGGTTTAGGGTTTAGGGTTTAGGGTTTAGGGTTTTAGGGTTTAGGGTTTAGGGTTTAGGGTTTAGGGTTTAGGGTTTAGGGTTTAGGTTAGGGTTTAGGGTTTAGGGTTTAGGGTTTAGGGTTTAGGGTTTAGGGTTTAGGGTTTAGGGTTTAGGGTTTAGGGTTTAGGGTTTAGGGTTTAGGGTTTAGGGTTTAGGGTTTAGGGTTTAGGGTTTAGGGTTTAGGGTCTGGGTCGTGAGAGTTTTAGGGAGTTTGGGAGGTCTAGGGGCTCGTGATACTTTAGTACACTTGAGCCGAACTCACGGACATGCCAACCCGGAAGCAAGGAACCCGAACCGAGGTGTTAAGTGCTATCTGCCTCAGAACCCTCCAAAAAATTCGAAGATAACAATCCCCATATTCCCTTACAAGGAAGAACATCTTTGGGGTTCAGGGTTCTTACACGAAATCGTAGAGAACTGGACAGGCTCGCAGGAGACCGGGGGAGGAGTCTTCTGGCCGAACACGGAATCTCGCCGTCAAAGCGTAAAGACGATGACACCCCAAACCCTAATAAACCCGAATAAACCCTAAACCCTAAACCCTAGAAAGGCCCGGTTTACGGCTTAGGGTTTCGGGTTTAGGGTTTAGGGCTTAGGGTATGGGATGTCTTGGGTTAAGAGTATGTCGCCAAGACGACCCTGCGCGCCTAAGTACGCATCCGACTCGTCGTCTGCAGAATCGTCGTTGACGCGCATCCTCGGCGACGGAGCCGAAGAGTAGGGTCCTAAACCCAACCCTAAATCCTAAACCCTAAACCCCTAAACCCTCAACCCTTGGGCGTAAGGTCCACCTGGAGTAGCCTTGGGTTCAAGGCTTACCTGGACTAACCCGTACCTGAAAACGGGCAGGTCTGCCCGATTATTCTCATATGGCCGACCTTCAGTTCTTCTCTAAGGGGTTTAGGGTTTAGGGTTTAGGGTTTAGGGCTTAGGGTTTAGGGTTTAGGGTTTAGGGCTTAGGGCTTAGGGTTTAGGGTTTAGGGTTTAGGGTTTAGGGCTTAGGGTTTAGGGTTTAGGGTTTAGTTAGGGTTTAGGGTTTAGGGCTAGGGTTTAGGGTTTAGGGTTTAGGGCTAGGGTTTAGGTCCCTTAGAAGGGGACTCAGGGGACTTAGGGGGCTTACAATGACAATTCTCAATGGGGTTGCAAGTACCCTGAGCCTCAAAGTAGCTACATGGCCCCTTGGTATAGGCTTCAAAGGGTACCCCTTCTATGCACCCTTATAGACGGTTTGGGGTTTAGGGTTTAGGGTTTGGGGTTTGGGGTTTAGGGTTTAGGGTTTAAATTAAGGGCCCATACATCAGAACCCTTTAACGGAGGTAGGGGACCATATTAAGGGCCCATGCAACTTCCCTTGGAAGGTCAGGGTCTAGAGGTCACACTAGGTAGAGTTTAGGGTTCAGGGCTTGGGGGACTCTCCGAAGCCGCATAACAACTGCCCTGACCCTAAACCCTGAACCCTAAACCCTAAACCCTAAACCCTAAACCGCCAAAACCCTACTGTAAGCCCTACAAAGCCATGAGCTCCAGGGGGCGGGGGGCTGAGAGTGAAGTTTCCGGCGTGGCGACCTCTACCCGGAACCCTCAACTCTGGACCTCCTAAACCCTAAACCCTAAACCCTAAATCCCTCACGGACCTCTCGGTTACTCGGCTTGCGGGCCGTGGATCATGCGGCATGCAGTAGGCGAGGTGTCCGAAGTATCCTCCTGCGCGGGAGAAGCTGCGAAACGCAACGCTGGATCCCCGGCCCCAAGCTCCCACGGTTTAGGATTTTAGGGTTTGGGGTTTAGGGTTTTAGGGTTTTAGGGTTTTAGGGTTTAGGGTTTTAGGGTTTTAGCGCAAACTGAGGGTTTAAGGCAAACTTCGGGTCCAAGGGTTTTAGGGTTGTAGGGTTGAGGGTATAGGGCGTAGGGTCTCAGGCAAGCACCGACATTCGGAGCAGCCCTATCAGAACTTGCCGCCAGCTGACCGCATTAACACAACATCCCCAAGCCAGGCTTGAGGTTGAGAGCTTAGGGCCTAGGGTGTCGGCTTAGGGTTTAGGGTTTAGGGTTTCGGGTTTAGGGTTTAGGGTTTAGGGTTTAGGGTCAAGCCTTCAGTCAGCAAAAGTTAACCCTTTCTTCGGGGCTTGCGGCTGTCCTCGGTGCTGTCTTGGTCCGATGTCTCACTATCCTGGGGGGTTCACTAACCCTAAACCCTAAACCCTAAACCCTAAACCCTAAACCCCAAACCCTAAACCCTAAACCCTAAACCCCAAACCCTAAACCCTCAGGGAGAGACTTGGTGCTTGGCAAGAAGGTTTTGGATCGATCTGCTCTTTACCTGGGGCATATCGTTCAGGAACTTGCATCAAGCTACAAGAATAAGGGTACGAGGGTTTAGGGTTTAGGGTTTAGGGTCTAGGGTCTAGGGTTTAGGGTTAGGGTTTAGGGTTTAGGGCTGGGTGCTCTACAACACTACTACGGCAACTGGAGCTTGAGCTTCCTAACACGAGCCCAGTTTCCTAGGTACCAGGGGTGCCTAGAAGCTCTTGTCTTTCCAGGATTGCGTCTACGATTCCTTACCTCAACAATCATCGCAACCCTAAACCCCCAAACAGTCGGAACCTAAACACTGCATGCCTGTAGCCTTGCGGGCCCTACCGATGAACTGAGAGGTCGTCGTACTGGTTCCTAGTAGGGGATGATGGAATTAGGTACCTTGTATCCCCCGATAGTACCCTTTGAGGACTATACACCCTAAACCCTGAATCCTAAAACCCTACTGATTTGATGTTAGGTGTTTTGGGTAAAGCCGACATCTGCCTGGTGCGCCGAAACCGAGTAAAAAAAGAGTGATTTGTACACTCAAAAGGTAGCAGCGTGTCATGACATGTGCACAAGCATCTTGCGTGTCTTATACATCTCCAAGGATTCCTTCCCCGCAACCGAAAATATGAAAGCAAAAAAACAGGAAACATTCAATGTGGGTTAGGGTATGGAGCTTAGGGACTAAGGCCCCAAAACCCTATACCCTATACCCTATACCCAAAACCCCAAGCCCCAAGCCCCAAGCCCCAAGCCCCAAACCCCAAACCCCAAACCCCAAACCCCAAGCCCCAAGCCCCAAGCCCCAAACCCCAAACCCCAAACCCCAAACCCCAAACCCCAAACCCCAAACCCCAAACCCTAGCCAGGAGGCGCTGTCCGTGTTGTCGTTGGCTGGAGGCCCAAGCTCCTGAGGCATCGGAAGCATTAGGGTTTAAGGTTTAGGGTTTGGGGTTTAGGGTTTGGGGTTTTGGGGTTTAGGGTTTAGGGTTTAGGGTTTAGGGTTTCGGGATTAGGGTTTAGGGTTTAGGGTTGAGGGTTGAGGGTTGAGGGTTGAGGGTCTAGGGTTTAGGGTTTAGGGTTTAGGGCTTAGGGTTTAGGGATCCCAAACGCTAAGCCCTGAAACCCCAAAACGAGTTCTTCATCAGCAGAGGAGGGCCCTGGAAACTTTCTGGGTTTGGAGTTTAAGTCCTAAGCCCTAAACCCAAAACCCTAAGCCCTAAACCCTAAACCCTAAACCCGAAGCCCTAAGCCCCAAGCCCCAAGCCCCAAGCCCTAAGCCCTAAGCCCTAAGACCTAAGCCCTAAGCCCTAAGCCCCAAGCCCCAAGCCCCAAGGCCCCTAAGGCCCCTAAGGCCCCTAAGGCCCCTAAGGCCCCTAAGGCCCCTAAGGCCCCTAAGGCCCCTAAGGCCCCTAAGGCCCCTAAGGCCCCTAAGGCCCCTAAGGCCCCTAAGGCCCCTAAGGCCCCTAAGGCCCCTAAGGCCCGTAAGGCCCCTAAGGCCCCTAAGGCCCCTAAGGCCCCTAAGCCCTAAGCCCTAAGCCCTAAGCCCTAAACCCTATCCCTGCCCCCTAGGGTGCCTCATCTTTGCTGCCATCTGCGGCGTTCTGATAGCCGCGGCTCCGAGGCGTGCTCGGTAAGACATTTGCCATGGGGTTTAGGGGTTAGGGTTTAGGGTTTAGGGTTTAGGGTTTGGGGTTTGGGGTTTAGGGTTTAGGGTTTATTGGGTTTAGGGCTTAGGTGCTCGGTAAGACATTTGCCATGGCATGGCACGCTTGGAAGAGGAAAGCCAAGCCGGGGGGTTCGGGGTTTTGGGGTTTAGGGTTTTTAGGGTTTATAGGGTTTATAGGGTTTAGGATCTAGGGCTAAGGGTTCAGGTTTTTGGGGCTTCTCGGGTTTAGGGTTTCTCGGGCTTGGGGTTTCTAAGGTTTAGGGGTTTCTAGGGTTTAAGTTAGGGTTTCTAGGGCTTAGGATTTCTAGTTTCGAGGGCGTGGGCTTAACTTCGAAGAAGATGCACCCACCGCCACCTTGTGAGTCAGCAAAAGCGTGGGTTTTTTGTGTTTTTCAGTTTTCGGGCTTGGGCGGTTTTCAGACAGGTACCCACTTTCGGGTCGAAACCTAGCTGAGTGAGACTCGAGCCGGTCAGGGCGGGGGATGATCTACATCAACCCTACAGCCTAAACCCGCAATAACCCTAAGCCCTAAACCCTAAACCCTAAGCCTTAAGCCTTAAGCCCTAAGGTTTCGGGTCTAGGGTTTGGGGTTTCGGGCTGGGGTTTGCTCAGGGCTTAGGACTGTTTAGGTTTCCGGGGTATAAGGTTCAGGGTTTGGGGTTCAGGGCCCGAAAGCTCCCGCCCCCCAACAAAAAGAAACCAAAAAGTTCCGATCTTTGGCTGAACCCGCCAACGGAGCGGTCTCTCCAAGATCTTCTTGAAGAGCTCTTAGGAGAGCCCCGTAGGCAGCCCTTAAACAGACACGCCCCCCTCCCCGGAACAAAAAAGACACAACAGATGGTGGATAGAGAGATAGATAGATACATACTAAGTCTTTACTACGACCATCCGTCAACCCTACGTTTGCAAGTCAAAAGCCCCAACAATTCCAAAGAATGCTACTCTACTTGCAGGGGCCTTAAGGGAGGGGGGTTTAAGGGGGGGGGGTGGATAGGTATTTAGGAAACCTTAGGGAGCCTTAGGGAGTAGTGGGGAGTATGAGGGAACCTTGGGTGACATACCCCGCTTGAACCCTAAACCCTAAACCCTAAAACCTTAAAACCCTGAAACCCTAAAACCTTAAAACCCTTAAGCCCTTAAACCCTTAAACCCTAAAACCCTAAAACCCTAAAACCCTAAAACCCTAAAACCCTAAAACCCTAAAACCCTAAAACCCTAAAACCCTAAAACCCTAAAACCTTAAAACCCTAAAACCCTAAAACCCTAAAACCCTAAAACCCTAAAACCCTAAAACCCTAAAACCCTAAAACCCTAAAACCCTAAACCCTAAACCCTCCCTTAAGGACCCTTTAACTTACCCACAGTTTGGTGGCAAACAAGAAAGCCCAAGTTCGGGCCTCAGGCACCGTTTCATCGGGTTTTGTTCTGAGGCACCTAAACCCTAAACCCTGAACCCCAAACCCCTGAACCCCAAACCCTGAACCCCAAACCCTGGGTCCTAGAGGGTTAGGGCTTTCGGATATTGGGCTAAGGGATTTGGGGGTCTGGGGATTTTTTGGGGATTTGGGGATTTGGGGATTGTGGGCTTTTGGCCTTGAGGTGATTTAGGTTTTCGAATTTGGGTTTAGGGCTTAGGGGTTTAAGGCCTAGGGTTTAAGTCTTAGGGGTTAGCC